GGGAAGAGGGCAAGGGAGAGGGACAGGGAGGGCTGCAGGGCCCCAGATCCATCCCTCCTCCCTCACGGTTGCAGGTAAAGCCAGTGGATCTGCCCTCATGCTCCTTCAAAGCCACCTGCCTACCCTCTTGACTCCTGAGGGGTCTCTAGGACAGCTGGCCACAGGAGCTGCCAGCCCAGGGCTCTCTGCCCCACCCCTCCCCCAGCACTGGGGGCAGCAAATGCACTAGAAGGAGACAGGCCAGAAAGGAGGAGGGAGAGAAGAGAGACAGCTGAGCAGGGGCAGGGTGCAAGCAGCACCTGTCTGGGGGTGGCTACAAGCCCTGCAGGAGGAAATCGGAGCTGGGAGACTCCTTCTCAGCTCCCAGCTCAGCGGTCACTCCCTGGTGTATTTCCTGAGAGAAGCCAGTACATCCAGCCATGCAGAATGAGCTCTCCTGTGCTCCCCAGCCAGCCCCTCACTCTTAGGGGCTCAGAGAGGGACCAAGAAGTGCACGGGCTGGGGAATCTTAAAGCCAACAAGTGAGATACATTTTACTGAAGCTGGCCAGGCCCCAGCCCCTCCTGCTCCACGTGCCAGTCCTGACACAGCGCAGGGAGGGTTTGCAGTGCTTAGAGCATATCGCTTTCTTGGATAAAGTGTGCATAGGCTAAGGCCTTGTTCCGCTTCCTCCTCTGCAGCCAGAGAGGGACAGAAATACATTCTAGGCCGCTGGAGAAGGAGTTCCTTTTAACATTTGCTAACAGCCTCACTTGGGAAAACAGGAAGCTGGTATCTGATTCAAGGGCTGAGACATTCCATTCCCAAGGTCTGTCCAGCCAGGGGAACTTTGCTTTGCCGTGAGGATGCTTCACTGCCCAGCAGTGGTGTTAGCACAAAGCACAGTATGGGTATTTCAGCTTCACACAAGTGTTCAAATTTTTCCCTAAATAACCAGTCTTCACCGGTGTTCTTGGGACCGCAAGTTCCAACCCAGTGCTGTCACTACATGCACAAGACACAGCAACCGAGTAAACAACACGAACAGAAGGCCCAATAAGGTCAGTCGCTTCCTTCCCTACTGTGTATTCTGCTCATTAATCAGTGCAACTAACAGAGTTACTCATTTATAATAGATGACACTAAACCAGAGTTCTCATTAAGCCGTAACGTACAACTATTCTCTGGGAAAAAATAATAAAAAGCAGCCAACTTTACACCAGTGGCTGTGAAGCAGAGTGCTTTACAAAGCCGGGGGAGGGCAGGGAGCACAGTCCCCAGCATCTGAGCTCCAGGACTGATCAGAATATGGGTGACTTCAAACCCAAGCAAGGGTGTTCTCTCTGGCCAAGAGGGTTCCTAGGGCTAGGCACGCAGTTGTGTTCTTGGCAGGTACACACACAGCAGCGAAAGCTCTAAGGAGACTGAAAGCCAAAGCAGCGCTGCTGACAATCATTCCCACTCAGCTGGCTGCTAGGGGCCTAGCAAGCAAAATAAGCAGCGATGGTCCTGAATCTCAGCTTGGGAGCCCAACCAAACCCCAGATCCACACACGCCTCAACTTGGAAATCTGAAATCCAGATCCAAACCAACCCAGTTTGTTTTGGTTTTTTTGTTTGTTTGTTTGTTTTTTTTAGGGGGGAAACCAGGTTTTAAATATCACAGAAGAAGACTGCAGCTGCTAACTGGCCTTCAGGCTTGCCATTTGGGACCATTTAAGCCATGAGTTCAGTGGCAACAGTACATAGCAGTTCAATATTCAGATCTAAGCCCATACCACAGAATTACATGAGCAGAACTCAGCCTTAAATGCCTTCTGTCCCAAAGAGTCCCTTTATTCCTTGCCTTTGTGCTATTCCTTGCAATATAGCACTGGCTTATCCCACTAGAGCAGACGGACCCCTAACGGAGAGGGTACAGTCACTTTTTTTTTTTTTTTTTTTTTTTTAAAGAATGGTTTCAAGTGCTTGACTGGGGACACCCACATTTCTAGAAGGGCTGGTCACCCATCATCCTTGGCTTTACTTGGAACTGAAAACCAAGGCATTTAAACTTAGCAGCCATGAGCCCGTTTTGAAAGCGCTGCCCCTGGGAAATGCACCGTTGGGACAATTCTCATCACCTCCGCCCGAGACTTGCCAGGTTAAACAGGACACAGTCACCTCAGAACTGATTGGGGAACACCCAACAGGGGGCAGAAACATCAACCAAAACAAACCTAAAAATCAGGCCAACCTTTAAGGGTAAAAATATAAACATTTGGAAAGTGATTCAACCCTGAACAGAGGGTGATTTAAAATAACAGTATTTTTTTTGAATAGTCAGAAGCCAATCACGTGCATGCTCAGAAACTGTACCTCCCTCGTCTTCACTCACACGTATGTCTGTCTGCACACATAACAGTTAGCAGTCACTTTACGTCTTGTGCCTCTGTCAGGGATGCTGTCGGCTCCCATTATTACTGCAAGTGATCATTTCAGTGGATGGAATTTATCAGCAGCAGCTTCAGAAGAGCAATGCTGACAAACCAGGCAGGGTAATTTTTAGCACATACAGGGTGCACACGGCTTTCCCTTGGCGCTGCAAAAGGCTCCTCCAGGCACAGGCCGGTCTGTAATTGTTTGTAAACATCAGGCACACCCACGGCTCTGGGAGCAACAACCACCACCTAACTCCATGCAACGGACCTTTGCCAAAGGTACTTCCTCCTTCTGGATCTTTGCCCTGCTTGCTCTTTTTCCTGTAGCTTCATTGTACACCCAGTTCTAGTCACTTGTGTGTTTTGTTCTATTGCATCAAGGCAAGTTGTTACTTTTCTTCATTTCTGAGTGGTGTTTATTATTTATTCATTAAAAGGAAAAGGAAAAGCAAAGGGAAAGCAACACAAGCAGATTCCTAACAAGTTACAGGCGGCAGTGACAGGCACAGCAAAAAGCTGCCTGTAGGAAATACAGGCAGCTCACCACTGCCATCCTCAAATTTGTCTGTCATCATCTACATCAGGTGACATTCTCGCCTCCCCACTCCTGAGCGGGACATCAGTGCTATCTATAGACAGGGGTACCTGGCTTATTTTAAAGTAGTGAGAAGGAAGGGGGTATTAATATTATTCATAGGATAAAGGAGCCGCTCAAACCTGTACCCAACATGTCTCAGTCCCCAATATAAGCAATTGGCACTGCACTCCAAATTCCCAGCATGCTGCCCACCACTGACCTTAATGTTCATAGGTAACAACACCACACTAGCTAGAAACACACTGCAACTGTGCCTTGCTGAGCTGTAGTGGTTACAGGCTACCAGTCTGGCTAACCTGTGGCAGCTCCTTGGATGGGGACATTCTAGTTTGAATCATTGTCCAACAATGACTGAATCAAGGATTCAGAATTCATTTTCCATGGGGAGGAGGTGTCACACCCACAATCACAGGCAGTGCTTAACCCATCAACACACTCAAACTTGAGAGAATTGAGAGACACCAAGACATATCCCAAATTCCCCCACCCCATTTGACAGAGCTGCCATTAAGCACCTGAACCACTGCAGCTGCATGTAGAAATATATGTATTATAGTCATAAACTACACAGGTGATGCACACTGCGCTTCCAAAAGCTATGAGTAAGACTTGAAAACTAGAATTAAAATAGTGCTACTCAGACACACTGTCTACCTTGTCATAATATGCTACATTTCAAAGCCAGTGATCACGTCAGTAAAAGCAGAAAGTCAATAAAAAACAATAGCAAAACATTCTTTCAAATACCAGCCACTCTCTCAGACCTCACTGCTCAGAACTGGCAAATTAGCATTATTACTGTCTTTATGTGTGCAGTTCCCTCGCTCTGCCTTTGATTTCAGAGGAGAGCTGTCTAAATAACAAGAAACCCATTATCTCTTAACTCCCTTTTAACTAAACTTTATGGCCACTAAAGCTGTATAGCACTGTTAGCAACAAGATCCGACTGGAGCAAACCCACAGCATTTGCACCCTGCTGACCAGAAGAGAAGGTTGAAACTGAAACAGGATCATTGAACATTTAATCTCTAGGCTTAAAGCGGGAAAGGCCACTACCCAGCCTGCAAAGTCAGACGGGAGAGAGACTATTTATTAATTATTATGTATTAATTCAGGAGCATGTACCAGCCTGGGAGGTAAGTAGCAGAGCCCAGCAAGTGACAAGATCGGAAAAGCTACTAGTTAAAAAAAAAAAAAAAAAATCACTGATTGAACTGCAACTGTTCAGAGCCAGCAAGGAGACCTGGAAAGGAAATGGGGGGGGGGGTCCTTCCTTCAGCTGGTATTAGCCAGAGTTAAGGATGGACTCAAGGCACCTAACTTCCTGCTCTGGAAGGGAACAAGTTGCAAAGCACTGGCAGCGCTAACTAATCTATCTGCCCTACTAGGGCAGACACACTTGGCAGTTAAAAAAGCCTTGCTTTGTAGGAAACAAGAAGGGGAAAGGGGGAGGACTGTGACCATCATCTCTGACCTGCTAATTCTGCCCATGCTGGGGGAGCCGTGCCCTGCACAGTGGATTTGCTCTCCCCCCCGCCACCCTTCAATGTCAGGACCAGGCCAGGGCTGGCAGTAGGACGCGCACTCCTACCCCAAACTGCAAGGACGCTGCCCTGCCAGGAACAGGGATCGGGTTTCGCGTCAACTCCCTCACAACAAGCTGCTGTTTGCGCCACTTGCTCGCCCTCTGCCAAGCAAACAAGCCAGGCCCTGGGCTAAGAGCTCCCCTGAGAAGCCAGTTTGGGGGGGAGGTGGCGGGGAGAGGGGTGCTACCCACACGCGCCTCTTCCAACACCAAACGACCTCCTTCCCCCTGGAGACAAACACCATTAACCCCTTCCCTTCCCTTCCCACCAGCGGCGCGCGGCGAGCACCAAGTTCCACCCCAGCCCGCCCAGAGAGCAGCAGGGACACGGACCCGCCCGGCCAGCCTCCGCCGCCCACCCCCCAGCGCTCCCCGCCACGGGTCCGTGCGCGGACGGGCGGGCTCGGGCTCCCACCTACCAGCGGGTTCCGGCAGCCGCCTCGCCGCTGCCCGCTCATCTTGGAGGCGCAGGAGACACAGCGCCGGCCGGGGAGCGAGCGGCGGCGAGCGGGGAGGCAGGGCAGAGTCGCGCCGCGCCGCCTCCCGCCCCGCCTCCCCAGCTCCGCTCCCCACAGGTAAGGGCGCACAGAGCCGCCCCGAGCGCAAGCCGCCGGCGGGAGGTGCCCGGCAAAGGCAGCCCGCTCCTGCCGGCTCTGAGCTGCCCCCGACTCCAGCCCCGCGCCCCAGAGCCTGGTCTTCCCATGCCCAGCAGCCTTCCCCAGGGTGGAGAGCGGCGCCCCGCCCGGGGCAAATGACAGAGCCCACCCCCACGCTGCTCTCGGCCTTGGGCACGGAGACAGCCGGTCCCTGCCCGCTCCCAGCGTCGGGAGCTGGGGTCTTCAAGCCTCAGCAAGCTGAAGCCAGTCTGACACTCCCCCCACCCATGTGCGGTGAAAGGCCGAGAGCTGGGATTCACCCCCGCCGGCTCTTCCAGCGCCCCCACTTTAGCAGAGGCTGGTGTAGCTCTTCTGTAATCTCCTGCCTCTCCTTTCCCCCAGCTTTGGAGAGCATCCCTATCCTTAACTAAGATGACCTTTAATCTAGCATCATTGGCAGCAGAGTATAGTGCCTATGGAAAGTAGTGGACTTTCCTCAGAGCTATTGTTTCAGGCTCTCTGCAAACTCAGGAAGCTGTTGCTGCATCATTTACAACAAGCCATTTACAACTATAGCAGCCAGACACTGACTTTAAAAAAAATGAAGTCTGAGATGGAGGAGAACAAGGAGAGTACTGTCTCTACTCTGGGCAGGCTCACATACACCCCCACCCCAATCCTTCACACTTGTGCTTTGACAGTGCTCATACAGCATATGACAACAATTAAGTAGTTTGGAATTTGAGCCCTTCCAAACCACTGCAATTATTAATGGTTTTGCTCCATGCGTTTGGGTTTCATAGATGTAGCAGGAGGGCCAATCCAGCAAGCTGATCCACCCAGCTAAACCCTTGAGCCTATGCAGAGCTCCACTGGCCAGGATCTTCCTTTGTGGATCAGTTTACAGAATTGGGGCCAGTTTTTAGCAATCTAGCTTGTATTGTACCCTGCAGGACAGAAAGGAATGTGAGTGGGCCACTAATAAAGAACATTTCTTCCCTGTTCACAGGAAAGTAAAGATTACAAAAGGTAGTCACTCTGTGTCAGGCCAAAGCCTTAAATGAGATCCATGGAGTGTTTTATTATTCATTATTACAGTGGAGGAGACACTTTAAGTTGAGATTCAATTTCTTTGCAGAAACTCTTTTAATGTGTTTGCTTTTCCATTGGCAGATACAGCTGAGAAATAATGAGATTTTTTTTAATCTAGTTCAGAAAAGTGTGGAAGGGTGTTTGGTACATTTAATGTATTAAAGAGACTTGGATAAGTTTGAATTGTTATTTATAAAAGGTGTGCCTATATACAGTAGTAGCAGCAAAAAGAAAGCAAGAAAGGGGGAAATTAATCCCAGAAACATAATGATTCTCCCATAATATAGGTACACACTGAATAGGTTATTTATAATTTTAACTTGCTGGGAAGGTATCTGCCTCTTTAAGGATAAAGATGCAAAGAAATACCTCCAGGCCATTGCTTCTTTGTTTATTTCAGCAGGTCACAACCCCAAGTGGGATCATTCCATCAGTGGATTGGGTCTTGACAATCCTAAGTGTGTGGAGGATGCCATTTTACAATCTTGCACGTCACAGGGTGCACCACTTACCAGCAGACTGGCACCTCCTCCTAGTACTCTGGGGATTAGCTCAAGGCCAACACCCTGTCCCATTTGCAGTTTGCACACCGTTATGCTATCTGCCTGCAGCTCCTCGAGCAGCCTGAGGAACTGCAATGTACAACTTATGACTCAGCCCTCCAGCCATGTCACTGTTCGTGTTCCCCCTCAACAGTCCTCTTGCTCACTACCTTGGTGCTACTTGCCCAGTAGCTAGTAGGGGCACCCAGGCCTCCCCTCTACTCTGGGTTCCAGCTCAGGGACCCTCACTTCAGCAGTCTGGGCCTTCTCTCTCTGACCTTGTTACTCTACCTAGGCTGCTTCGTGCTACTGCTTCCCTTTTTCTTCCTGCGCCTGCCAGTTCCCCATAGCCTCTTCCCAGGGAGTGACTGCAGCCCCTACTCTCTCCTCCCAGAGGATCTGCCTTTTCCCAGCCACCCCTTCTCCTTTCAGCTCCTGGGTTTTATAGGCCCCACCTTTTCCTGCCCAGCTGAGCCTCTTTAATCAGCTGCCTAATGGGTTAATCGGCCCATCTGGCCTGCATTCAACCCTGCACCCCATCCCATTGCATGCATGGTAAGTGCAAGGTCACAGTGCAGGGAGGATGACATTTGAAAATGGCACCTTCCATTCTGTTGGGGGTCACAGGAAACAATACCTCTGAAAATGGGGTCATGCAGGGGAAAAAGTTGGGAACCGCTGGGTGACCTGTTTTTCAAATGGGAAGAAGGGATTGTTGTAGGAAGGAGACTTCGAATGCAGAGACGTGGGTTCTGGTCCCAGCTCTGCTCTTAGCTCACTGTGGTTATGTCTGCACTGCCAAAAGAGGTGGAGTTTTTAAACACGTGTTAGTTACCCTGCTGTAAAATTCATGTTGTGACAAGGCACCTGCAGTGTATCCCTGCCCATAGTTGACCTCTCCTAATTTATCTTGTGTCTCCACTAGGATTTCGTAGCATGATTGTTAACGCATGTCAGTCATCTTGCGGCAAAACCACACCTTTCTCGGCAGCGCAAATAAAGCGTGTATTACCTGGGGTCACTAACTGACTTTTGCTCTGGGCCTGCATCTTATGTGAAGTGGGGATGAAGCACAGCCAGCTCGGAATGGTAGGGCCAGATTCTCATCTTGTTTACACTGGTGCAAGTTGCACATCATGGTGTGGAATTCAGTGGTATTGCGCTGGAATCCCAGTGCAAGGGGGATGAGAATCAGGCCCAGTGCTCGGGGCCCATTTTGTTCTGAACAGGTGTAAATGATCACACAAGGTGCCAGGCAGGGGCCAGGCCGGCTGTGTCTTTGTTTGCCTATCTCAGCCTAAGTTGTGTGAATGCACGGCAAGGTTTGGGTTACTGGGGAGGCAGGAGATGGGAGGATGCAAGACAAGGCATGGTCTAAACATTAACGCAAAGCACTGTGCGGGGAAGAAAAGTCCTTGTGATCATAGCAGTAGCAGTGCGGCAGAGCAGGTGCTCAGCCCAGTGCCCTAGACCTGGGCGTAGGTCTGGCACAAAAGACAGGCCATATTGACAAATGATGACAAGGAAATTACAAAAATGGCCACAGCCTCTGAGATAGACCCTGCCCTGCAGGCTTCTAAGCAAGGCTTCTGAAAGGGAGCTTCTTTTACTGCCATGTTCAGAATCACTGCATCTAAGAGGAGTCTGGTATCCTGGCCTGGTCCCAAACTCAGAAAGCCAGAGCCTCATATCTCTCCTTCTCTTGTGAGGGAACGATTACAAGACACCACTCTTCGTAAAGCAAAGGGCACTGATGTGAAATAGAGCCCTGGCGGCGGGTAGCGTGTGTAACAGCCAGGCACACAGCATCCTGGTCTCCCAGCTAAGCTCCAGCACACACACCGCACCTCAGTCATTGAGGAAGGTAAACAAGCCGACAGGTACTCAGCGCGGAGGAGGGGAGCTGAAATAGCAACTCAGGCTTGAGCATGATGAGGAGGAAAATGAGTGTCAGTGGTTCTCACTCCTCCCCCTATCTGTGTTCATCTTTCAGAAATCTGCTGGCAGCCACACAATTACCAATCCAGGGCCAGTGACAGATGTGCACAGTGTGCCTCTGCCCCTGCTGGGGAGCCATCTGCCAAGCATGTCAGCTCTTCTAATACCTATGGGTTGTGATCCATTAGGCTGGAACTACACAGAACAGTTAAGATCAATATGATTTGTTTTGCATCCTCCTGGCTTTCCTTTGATGTTCTCCCTTTCTGTGCTTTCTAAAGTGGTAGGATTTGTGCTGCCCCAGTTTGTTAATTTCTCCGTGGTCTTTCATTAAGCACTTCCCAGACCTAGAAATGCAGTTGGTGGATTTCTCTTTAGATGCCAGCTTGCTCACCTGACAGATTTTACTAAGCTCTTGTGACTCTGAATTAAAAGAGGCATTTTCAGTTCACAAGCAATTTTCTTAAGAGATTGACAAGTAGAGAGCACCCTGTCATCAAAATGCATCCTCTGTCTAAGAAGTTCTTCTAAGCTTAGTTGAATAAATGCAGCATTTAGGGCTGGAAATGCCATAGATGATGTTTGGCAAATGTTTACAAATAGCTGTTTGTTCACTCTTTTTTTAAATACAGAAAAGCAGATGGCTAAATAAGGGGTGAATTGTGCAATACAGCACTAACCCAGCACAGCTCTGTGCACTAATGTGCTAACTCTTAAAATGAATCACATGCATTCTGAAATCCTACAAGCCTGATTTGCAGAGGCAAGGGAGTCCTGGATCAGCCACTGAAGTACTTTGGGAGTTGTGAGTGCTCAGAACAAATAATATTCTACACAAGACTTCTGCGAGCTGGGAGGTAAGTGTTATCATCCACACTGTACCGAGGGAGACCTGGGGCAGATAAGGGACACACCTTGCCCAAGGTCACCTACTGAATCAATAACACTGCCACGATTAGAACTCAGGACTTCCTGATTCCTGAGCTTAGTCTTATTCCTTTATATACAGCATGGTCAGGATCAGCCACTTTGCTTAAATCTTGAACGCCTGTGTCTGTTTCTTTCCCAGCTACCAGTGTTTTATTATTTTCCCAGTGTTTTATTTCTGGAGATAGTGGCGGGGGTCATGGACGCACTTAGATTCCCATAAAGGAATCTAATTTTCCAGCATTGAGCAATTACTCCAGTTTGGATGACTCAGCTTTTCCAGGTTTCCCTAGCACCTCCTTCATTTTGAAACCAAAGGCATGCATTTTTTTTACCCCTCAAATGTGCACGGAACAGCAGCTTCTAGTTCACAAATGGAGTGGGGGTACTTACGCTGATCCTTGGAATTTTTGAGTCTAAACAAAAAGAAAAGGAGGACTTGTG